TCACACGTGATCGTGCAACAGGAAGAATGCAGTTTGGGGGCCGTTCAGATAATCTTCCCCTTCAGTCAGCCATGGGGAACACAAGGAACAGAATTCTTGTCCATTTCTGACCCCAAGATGGACTGTGCTCACCCCAGCAATGCAAGACTTCTGTGATTGTGACACAACCTGAAAAGATCATATTTTTGAATTATCTACAATGGCAGGTCAGTCCTGGGCCTAAAAACACAAACAAAAAGAACACTGAATCAAATTCTGTGTAGACCAATATGCATTTCAAAGGCGCTGTCCATGTAGTCAGTGGGTTAGGGTTTTTGTGTTGTTTTCTTTTTCTTTCTTTTTTGGGGGATGGGGAGGCCGAGGGGCTCTCTTTCATGTTAATCTAATTGTGCAAAACCCAGGCACATTTCACTATGTAGGGAGACTCTTTGCTTAGTGTCCTTCCCCTACCACACACTCTGGCCTCTTTCATTTCTCCCCTTCTGATGTCAGAGTGTGGCCCTGGCCTGCATCTCAGGGAGATTCCCAGAAGGGAGAGATATGCTGCTCTGCTGCTGAGGAATTTGCTCTCCACTCTCTTGGCAGCAAATGAAAGTGGGTATTAATTTCTCAGAGTGCTGGTGGAGACACGAGAGGGGGCTGTACCAGATCCACACCCAAATCTGTGTGTACTTCACAGCGTGTGGCTGTTTCAAAAGAGGGAGAGCAAAGAAAATGAAAGGGAAGAAAAGATTCTCCTGAGCTGACTTCTCTGCATTTAGCACCGTTAGGTTTTGGATCAAGATGCGAGGTTTGAGCCCCGCATGGAGTTAAATTATGCAGCTGCGGGATGTCAGGTCTTCCCAAATAGGATGCTTCGTTTAGATTTTCCACAATGCTATTGAAGTGCTTATTTTCCTCCTGAAGAGACACAAACAGATGCAAACTTCTGTAAACACTTTAGAAATGAATTCAGTGAGTTTGGCCTCTCAGCAGTGCTCAATAGCTGACAGAAAAATGTCTAATTAGTGCAAGTGGAAATAATAGGGGCACTTGGATCCCTTCCATCCTCCTCCAAGTCTACTTTTCCAAGGAACTCAAAGGCGCTTTTGTCTGGCAGGTCACCCTCTCTCAGGCTTTTGTGCTCCAATCTATTAAGAGTAGAAGGAGGAAAAATAGATTAGGCAATGTTCTTTGCTCAAATGTATGGCGTGTTCGCACGGGGTGCAGAAAGGCGTGTTTGCAGCCTCTCCTTACAGGTGCTAGGGAGAGATTCCTGCGTTGGCAACAGCCACAAGCGACACACGTGTGGCAGAGCAGGCTCCCTTTGAAGACCCTGCTTCCCTTCACGGGTGCTGTAGCGCCTGCTCCTTTTCCTTTTTCTCTCTCAGTTTCCAGGAGCCTCAACCTTCAGAGTTGGTGGAGACAAGAAAAAAATGAAACGAAGGCTTTTGCCTTTTTATGAGATGAACCCCCTAGATGGCCATTGGCTCTGTTTTACTCTGTTGAAAATCAGCTGACACACGGGGGGAGCCTGCTTTTACCTGTTGTTGACATTTTGCCATACAAGAGTGGGAGTGAGCGGCTGGCTTTTTTTCTTCTGTTTTCCCACCATGGTGTCCTTGTCATTAAGCACCCACAATCCACCCAGCTCTGTCCTGAGCATTTCACCTAAATTTCCTCAAACCCTAAAATAACACTGCAAAAGCTATCACCCACATTTCACAGATGAGGCTGTCAAAATGAACAAGGCTAAGGAACTTGGTAACTGTGAATAAATAGTGAAGCTCAGAAAAAACTCAAATGATATGTGGTTTCATCCCAGACATTAATTTCTTATTTCCAGAAGTTTTCATTTTGGGTATTTTTTTTATATCTTCCATGTCTTTACTTCATATAACTAATTTTTATAATACCTCCTAGTATGCATAAAATAAAGTTATGGTAATTGTTATTTGGGCATCACTTTCTATTGATTTATTTTCCCTGGCAATATGGGCTTCTTTCATGACTGGAAATTTTGTATTCCATGCCAGTATTGTAAAAATCTCATTTTATTGGAGGATGGATGTTTGTTTGCCTGTAAACAGTCTCAAACCTTGCTCTGGGATTCAGTTAAATTAGGAAACAGTTTGATCCTTCCAAAAGTTGCTTCTAAACAACAAGAGTCAGAACAGAGCAGTTTTACTGGTAGGCCCATATTCTGTCACTACAGCAGCAGTACCTAGCCAACACCCATCCTAGGCCCTGTGAATAAAAGAATTTTCATTGTGGCTATGGAACCCCTTGCTGCTGGAGGTCCAGCACCACTTCCTCTGCTCCTTTCAAGTGATTCTTTCCCCTGCATGTCTTCTTTCCATGATGAGCTGATGAGGATTCTGCTGAAAACCCAAAGGGGGCGCTCTGCAGAGCCCTAAACTTGCTCTGCCCTATGAGCTCTACCTTGGCTCTTGCAGGTGAATCCCACTCTCGTGTGGTTCCCTCAGCTCAGGGAATCTCCTCGGAGCCTGTCCTCTAGACCTGGAAACCTGTTGTCAGGATGGTAAAGTGGTGCAAGCTCTGTGGTCGTTCCCCAAAAACTTAAAAATTAAATTCTCAGATGATCCAGCAGTACAGCCTCTAGTAAATATCCAAAGGAATGGAAAGCAGGGTTTGAAAGGGATGTTTCCACACCTGTGTCCATGACAGCAGCCTTCACAACAGCCAAGAAGCAGAAGTAACCCAGATGTCCATTGGAGGGGGAGTGATAACACCTTATTATTCAACCTTTAAAAGACAGGAAATTCTGTCACCTGCTGCAATATGAAAGGACTTTGATAGCATTGTGCTGAACAAAGCAGGACAGTCACAAAAGATGAATGCAGTGTGATTCCCCTTATATGAGCTATCTAAAGTAATTTAACTCATAGAAACAGAAGGTAGGGTTGGGGTCAGGATTTGGGGGTGAGAGAGGTGTTGTTTAATGGGCACAGAGTTTGCAAGATGAAAGAGTTCTGGAGATCTGCTTCACAGCAGTGTGAATATACTTAACACAACTGAAATGTACACTATAAAGCAACTAATAGTAAACTTTATCTAATGTGTTTTTGACTACAATTTCATATATGTACAGAGAGAAAATAAGAGAAAGACTTGAATGCCTGCCTGGCTCACTATCTTGATTTTGTAGCTTTGGAAAATCACTTCACCCTCTCAACCCTGGTTTCCTTTTCTTATTTAGATTTTTGAATGGCCTGTGGGTTACGGGGTACTGTAGAAAGAAAGGATTCATGCACAGGTTTTGGGGAGGATGTAATAAATAATACCTCTTTTTTTTTCTGGACTGTGAGCAAACTGTGCAGTAAAACAGAAGAGTTAAACACATGAGAAATTAAATGTCATACTTAACCCCGATAAAGAGTGAATTGGATGATAGAGGTTCAAACTAGACCAGGAGATCTGCGAGGTGACTTCCAAAATTATGTCAACTTCCACACGATAATTACTGGGTCACCAGAACACCCCAGAGAGAGTGGCTTACTGGGTAAGACTTATAAAGAGCAGAAAAGGACGCCTGTTTCCATTCTCCAGCTTGTTGCCAGGAGAAACAAAGGGAGGAGCACATGCTGAAACTTACCAATCAGATTAGCCACCTCCCAAGCACAGAGAGAGCAAAGGGCTAGAGAGGAGCAGCTGGCGTCCCTCTGCCCAGAAGGCAGCACTGAGAGGAGAGAAGTGAGATCCCCCCACCAACAACTAGCGTCTCTTTCATAAAAAGGGCAGTGACTGGATTGGAACAGCAAGACAAACTCAAGTGAACATTACCACTTTCAGTGCTCACCGTTCGTTCTAGTGTGGATCTGAAAAGTCCCCTCCGAGTCTTACGGGTCTGGGAGGAGACCAGATCATGAGGAAGCTGTGTTCATCAGCGGATTGGTCCAGATGGGGCTGGGAGAGGAGGCGGGTCACTGGGGCACAACCTGGAAAGCACCGCTCCTTCCGGCTCCTCCCTGCTTTGTCTGCTTCCAGGCCACCATGGTGTGAGCAGCTTTCCTTCACCCAGTCTCTCCACCAGGCTGTGTCTGCGTTGGGCCACACAACTAGGGACTAAACTATGAGCCAAGTCAGCCTCTCCTAATCGTTTCTTGGCCTTTTCGCTAAGATTAAGTGCAAAATAAGCCTGTCCTTTAAGTTGTGGGTGTCAGGTGCTGTGTCCCAGTGATGAAAAGGTGACCGAGACACTTAATAAACACGTTGGTGGTTTAAAAGTCTTAACGAGTCAAGAAATCCTCATTTGAAAAAGGAAGGATTATCATGCTGGTTACTGGCAGGCATTCCCCAGTGAACATCCATAAATCTAAATGTTATGCTCTGTATGTGGTGCTTCGGATCCTTAGACATATCTATACTGACAGACGTGTATGCATAGATACACACACATACCAAAAACCAAGTCAGGAGAGGAGACAATGGAGACTGACTCCCAGGATGGTCCAGTATAAAAGCATAGGCTGATGTTACTCAGAGGTTTGCACGTTGTTTTAACCATCCATCAGTACAGTGAGCTACCTTATGGTGAGGAAAGGTTGATTTGGTGAGCAGCTTTGGGGGTGCCAATCCAAAAGGAGGTCGGCCCACTGCTTTCTCTGGTGGGCATGCTGGGGGTCAGTGGCAGAGAGTTTGTGATGGAGCAAAACTGCCCTCCTGGAGGCCAGAAAGCAAAGGAGAAGAGGCTGAAGCCCCACGATCCCTTTCGAGGTCACCATAGGGACCAGGCCATTAAGACCAAGGTTTGTAGGGGACATAAAATGCTGAAGGAGTTACAAAGACCACGTACTGCTCTGTCCCAGGGAACACATCACTGTAGGTTCCAGGAAGAAACAATTCTGAAGTGCCCCTTAATTATTGACAAGGTGGACAAGGTGCCTGGCCTCGTGCACTCCTACCCCTCAAGGAGCCTCAGACCCCGGAGGGAAAAGTGCAAGATCACCCTGTGCTCCTGAACGCACACTAAGCTCTACCTCCCTGTGCTTACTCCCCAGGCGGCCCTGCGCGCCTCCATCCGGGCCCAGGACTGTGCGGCGGCCGCGGCCGTGGTCTTCCTGCTGGACCGCGTGCTCTACGGGCTGGACAGCGCGGGCGGCCTCCTGCGGGTGGCACGGGGCCTGCACCGCCTGCAGCCCTGCACACCCATTGCGCCGCAGGTGGTGATCCGCCAGGCGCGGGTCTCGGCCAATGCAGGTGGGTGCCATCCAGTCCCCTCCTCCCGTCGCCCCCTCGCCAGAGCACTTAACCTCCAAAGCCGCGGGCGCCGGGCCCCGCGTGCCACCCTTCCGTGCCCACCCCTCTCCCTTCCACCCGCCTGGCTGGCGGCACAAAAGCCCTGGTATAAAGGGTTTCAGAGCCAAAAGCAGTAGAGAAAATTGTGAAAGGGTGTGGAAAATACTAATTGGAGCCTTTGTCTTCTAACAAATCTGTCCCGCTGCTTCCAAACAGGGATATCTGAATTGCTATACTTCGGACCAAGAGCCTTTAAAAAGCAGATTAGAATTCGACTACTTTCTCCCCGCCCCCCTGGCTCCTTTCTGCAGGGCCACTTGACTAGGCTGACAATGGTGCTGACAGCCCCACTGACGCGGTGCGAGAGTTTCCGTCACTCAGGACACCGGTGCAGTACCTGATTAGACCCGAGAGCGTCTTTTCTCCCCCTGTCACTTTGAATGGAGTGAGAAAGGAGGCTGGCTTCGGCCGGAGGAGCAGGGCCTGCTGCCCGTTATCGGGAATTATTTAATTACCCATGACCGCAAGACCCAGAAATGTGCAGCTTGCTATGCAGAGAGCCAGAGGCCAAGCCCAAGAGAAAGGCAGTTGTCTCTCCTGGAAACAGAACTCTCTGATTGGTTGTAGCTCTCGCCGTTGTCATCGCTCTGGTTTGGAAGAGGTTAAAATCTCTTTACTTCATTTCCTTTGAAAAGGAACTGTCCTGACTATACTAAGTGGGACAGTTGTCAAAAGCAGAAGGGACAGAGGTAAAAGGACATGAAGAAATGGGCCAGCGAGGTTACCTTCTCAAAGCCCAAGTTCGATTACTTTCAAGTTCTCACAACTGTGCAGAAATTGTGTCCCTGTCTTGTTGTGGACTTTGCTAGAGTGATTGCAGGGACAGAGTTGGATTTAGGGAAATGTCTTCTCTCAAGTGTCCTTGACAGCATTTATGTTTGGGACATGAGGGAAACGTAACACTTAGCACAATCCAGAGCACCGCGTGCCCACCGTCACGTGCCAAGTCCCTGAGAGCCGAGTGGAATGCACACTCTGATCTGCAGAACCACCTCACAGAGCACCCAGAAGTGTGCTTTCCCAATTTTCTAGGCATCTCGCAATCCAATCGAGTTGACAAGATCAACCATGGCAGTGATAGCTGGGACAGTGGTATTCCAGGGATTCCAGACCAAGATAAGGGTAAGGATGAAGGCCAGGAGATGAAAACAAGATGGCAGCCTGCAGGGACAGTAAAGGAGGCTACTGAGACTGAAGTAGAGGGAGTGGGAAAGAGAGGAAGAGCAGTTAGAGATGAGGCCCAAGGAGCCACAGGATCCAGGTCATTTGGGCTCCAAGGCTCCAGGAAGAAAGGACAGTTAGAAGAACCTGATGGAGTCCATTGCTTGTGCACAACAACCGTCCACAAACAGGACTCTTCCCACGAGGTGGCAGCTGAGCGAGTAAAGCTCTCCCCCACCCCTCTGTGATGATTCTGTGTGCATGTTGTCCTACTCGTGGACAACTCTGCCTAGAGGCGCAGCTTTCACAGACAGGAGACACAGCCTTGTACAGAGCTGTGTGTCTGCCACTCAAGCCCTGCTCCACAGGAGTGAATTGTCACACCCGTGAACTGCACATGGTCACGCGTGCACATACACGTGCATGAGTCTCATCGCCATTTCACATACTCTGACAAGTTCCCACCTAACACCTCCCGAAAATCTCCTCTTTCTTTTCCAGTTTTATATCTGACATAGTTACTGATTTTAAATTTTAAAATAGAAACATCTCCCAGAGAGGTCACTGTCCCTGTGGCAATGCAATGGTCACTGAGCTAACTGTGTGGCCCTTGGTTGTCTTTGCAGGGAAGCTTTTGAAAGCGGAGTACATCCTGAGCAGCCTCATCAGCAACAACGGAGCGACAGGTCAGTGCCTCGGGCCCTGACCACTTCGCGGGCCATGTCACCGCAGGCCTGGTCTCCTAGCCACTCAGTGGGCTAATCCTCAGTGTGCAGTAGGTGTTCCAGCAAGGCTCTGGCAGATGGATGAGTGACTTGGGTCGAGCGTCTTACTTCATGTTTCTGTTTTCCAATTCCAAAAACAACACAAAAGCAAAGCATTCACTACTTCTCTGCTTAGGTATGGATCATACAGCATTCCCTAATGGACGATAATGGGGACACCAGGTAGCCTGCTGGGCCTCAGAAAGGGCTCAGAAGCAGCCTTTAAAAGAGTTGGGATTAGCCAGGAATGGTGACCTGTGGTGCCTGTAATCCCAGCACTCAGGAGGCTGAGGCAGGAGGATTGATGCAAGCTTGAGGCCTGTCTGGGCTACATAGTGAGACCTTGTTTCAAAAAAACAAACAAAAACAAAAATTGGGATGGGAAATTAAAGCCTCAAACTCCAAGGAGCATGCTTATGGGTGTATGTTTTTAAATGGTCTCGAAAACTAATTTTATTTTGCTAAGTAAGAACTGCAGTGCAGATATTCTAAAATGGATTTTTCTTTCAATAGTCAATCATACAAGAAAGGAAGAAGGTCCAAAGAGGAATGAAGTAGATCACTTAAACCTTCAGATACCTTGTTAGAATTTCTGGGCATTTAAGTCAACACATTTTTCAAATGTTGAGCAGAGTTTCCAGGAGACTTTGAGCTCAGAATGCTAGGGTGGAGGATCCCAAGCCCCTTGGAACTTGTGGGCACTCCCAGAAGGGAGAGTTTGGGATGCAGGCAGCAGCTGCACACCCTCATTCGTGGCCACTGTCGCTAGGCTTCCACCCAACAGGTGAAAATGCAGTGAAGGGTTAAATTTTTAAAGTTATTACAGTAAAAGACACCACACAGATCCCCCTCACAACCCTCCCCTCGCTTCAAGCATGCTCATCCCCTCATTCTGCCACTTTGTGAAGTGCTCTGGGCCTCTGCTCACATGCGTATCCTTAAGAGACCGGATCAAAACTGCAGTGAACACCGCTGCCGACGTCATCCCGCAGAAGGAGGCTTGTGAAAACGTGTCAGTGCCCTCCTCCACCTTGTTCGCTGGATCTGGTAACGTGTGGCTTCTGGCTCTGCCCCAGAATCAAAATGACCGTGAAAGCGAAACAGTTGAGTGGACTCAGGACATCGAGGCAGCTGCAACAGCACAAGTAGAAACACAGGGTTCACAGCAGCACATCTTTTTCTGTAATAAAATGCTTAAAAATTTAAATACACATGGTATTTTTATCACACCTGTATGCACACTTGCCATCTTCTACCCCCATGCACACTCACGCACACAGACGTACTCAATGACGAGCAGGAAGAAAACTGTGCAGTGTGAGGGAAGAGAGCGCAGGGGCTGTGATGGAGTCTAACTTTCAGGTCGCGTCCCTCTCCTGCCCCTTTTGCTCTGTACTGGACAGGTTTATTTCTCTCTAAAGCCTTCTGGTCCACAAACCTCAGCCTAACTTACCAGCACTTTCCCCCATGGGGCACCATAATCACAGCAAGATGCAAAGCCGCCCCCGCTCGCATCGCTACGGGGCCAGGGCCCAGCTCGAGCACAGTCCCCTGTGAGGAGCGGACCCTCTGCTGCCCTCTTGGTTTGTGTGCAAGGTCACCGGTTTGGTATCCAAACCCTCCTCTGTAGGGCAGCCCAAGGCAGAGGTGACGCTACCGGGACAGTAACCCAGGGAGGCCTGGGCGCCTGCTGCATTGCAGCTTGACAGGCAGGAGGAGGCCCTGCAAGTGCACTGCACTGCACAGGAGGCGCAGGAGCCTCAGGGTCAGGACCTGAGCCTGAGTATAGAGATGTGACCGCCTCTCCAATCCAAGTCCCATGTGCTGCAGAACACGTGAATGAAAATAGGTTATTTTACTAGGCCTTTCCCTTAGGAACTCCAGGTGATACTGTTTTTCTTTGTTTGTTTTAGGTACCTGGCTCTACAGAAATGAAAGTGACAAGGTCCTGGTGCAGTCGGTCTGCATACAGATCCGAGGGCAAATTCTGCAAAAGCTCGGTACTGGTGCTGTGCCTGCCTCTGTGGGCTATAAGATTTTCTATGGACTGTCCTTACTGTTTCTGGCAAAATGATTGATCCCCACTTCCTTTAGTGTCCTCCTTGAAAAAATGAAATTTAAGATCCCATGAGCTAAGCTGGGTGTAGTGGTGCCTGCCTGTGGTTCCAGCTACTCAGGAGGCTGAGGCAGGACTACTGGGGCCCAGGAGTTCAAGGCCAGCCTAGGCAGCATTGGGAGACATTGGCTTTATTTTTAAAAAGCAAGAATGATAGCATTCCAGCACTCAGGATGCTGAGGCAGGAGGATCACTGTGAATCCGAGGCCAACCTGGGCTACAAAGTGAGTTCAAGGCCAGCCTGAACTACATAGTGAGACCCTGTGTCAAAAAAATGAAAAAAGGGGCTAAAGACATAGCTCAGTGGCACAAGTCAGTGTCTGCCTAGCAAGCACAAGGTCCTGAGTTCGATTTCCAGTACCAAAAAAAAAAGCATGATAGGCATATTATGAATATTAATAAAGCAAAATATTTTTCCATGGAATTTTGTTAGAAACATTTACAGCTGTATATTGTGGCTGTTAAGTGTAGTGTTCTCCATATTATTCCAGCTTCCAACTCAGCTGAGCAGAACTTTGGATGATATGGTAACACTCTGTTCTAAATCCACCAAAATGCGTCGTGCACTCATACTCTGAGGTAATCATGAATTTTTCAGGCAGAGTTTAAAGACCCTGATTATGTTTATAGCACAAACTAAATGGTTCACATTTTTGTTATGGGGCTGATAGTGAGTTCAGGGCTCGTGCGTGCTAGAGCTGCATTCCCCAGCCCTAGGGTTGGAAAAGCGCTCAAGGAAGACAGCAAGTATTCTCCTTGTAAGTCATGGGAATAACTTTATAATATGTATTATATACAAAAAAAGATAACAATTCTTACTGTTCCCCAGTGAAATAAAGAACATTATATGAAACCAACTGGAAAAACAAATGCAATGTTGGCCTAACATAGCCCTGAGTTTTTCTAACGGGATCCAGAGAATCTTCTCCCCACTCTCGGGTATTTCTAACCAGGAGCACAGGGCTGGGGGTGTGTAGCTGAGTGGCACAGCGCTTTCCTGGCAAGCACAAGGTCCTGAGTTCAATTCCCGGTACCTAAATAAATAAATAACCAAAAGCACAGGTCTAACCTCCCCCACCCCCATTTCTCTGGTTGCAGGCATGTGGTATGAAGCTGCAGAGTTAGCCTGGGCCTCCATCGTTGGATATTTGACACTTCCTCAGCCGGATAAAAAGGTGCACGCCTAGCATTTCTTTTTCCCGTTTGATTATTTGTCTTTGTACGGCACAGTTCAGTTCACTGTTTATCAGTTCCCTCTGTTCTGCTTATGTTCTGTTTGATCACCAGACCCAGAGAATGGAGTGCCTTCCTGCTGTGTCTGCTCTAGTCCTTGCTCTGTTAGACTGTTCGCATACATGTAGTGTTTCAGTAATTATTTGTATCTATATATTTCTCTCTTATGGTCCATTCCTCTATTTTATTATGTATTTAGCCTTATCTGATCCCCTAGCAGAGTCCAGTTGGACAGGTTGCTTATATGTATCAACAGCTTCCTTGAACAGGGAAAGGCTTCAACTAATTATTTATGTTCCTTTCTAAGAAATTGAGAGTTGGGTGTGGTGGCGCAGACCTATAATCTCAGCTGAGGCAGGAGAATCAAGACAAGTTTGAGGCCAGCCTGGGTTATATAGTGAGCTCAAGGCCAGCCTGAACCACATAGCAAGACCCTGTCTCAAAAAAAAAAAAAGAAAGAAAGAAAAAGAAATTGAGACACATCCTTTGTTTTCCTATCTGGCATTTTCATTCTGTGTAATTTGTAATTACAGGTAGGAATTTGTGTAATTTGTAGGAATATTATCCTAACATCTGAAGCCCCAGTTTATTTATGCCATTTCCTGGAGCTGTATCAGCTGCCATCCTTTTACAACACAGGATGTCATGTGAGATCTCTGTCTTGGGCTTGAGGCCTAGCATGGTGGACAGGTTAGGTCTGATAATCCAGTGAGGCACAACTAAGAAATAGCTGTTTTTATAGTTGGTCCATGGACGGTTCGGGTGTGAAGCGCTTTCTGCCTCAGTGACATCCAGTTCAAAGGTATCTGCAGTGTTGCAGTCATAATAACACTAACGGTAGGCAAATGGGGCATAGAGAGATCGTCACTGCCTGTACACCAGCAGGAGCGCCCGGCAGCCCTACACTCCCACTCTGACCAATTGTGTCTTCCTTTCAGGGCATCTCCACATCGCTAGGGATACTGGCAGACATCTTTGTTTCCATGAGCGAGAACGATTATGAAAAATTTAAAAACGACCCGCGGATTAACTTGGTAATTGTCTAAAACACCGTCCAGAGCGGCATCCCTTAGACTCTGCCAGCGCCGCTCTCAGTGTGGTGTTGTGTGGCCAGCTCCATTCCAGGAGACTGGGGTGGGGCAGAGTCTGCCCTCGCAGGTGAGGGTGGGGCAGGGCCGCTCCTGGCAGCTGTCTCCTCCAACCCCTAGCCCAGAACCACGAAGTGGGTGCTCAGAAAAGCTCTAGTGAATGAATGAATGAATGAATGAATGAATATCAGCAAAGCCATTTTGAGACCCATTTATTTCAAGTTGTCACAAAATTCAGTTTCCAAACTTGGGCCATCTTAGTATAAAAGGGCAATAATTTTAAAATTCATCACGATCTGTTGAAATCAGCACGAGTCATTTGTTTCAGGCTCTTATCCTTAATAATTACTAATATTTATATATCACCTGACAACTCAGAAACTGTGTGTATATCCATGGAAACCCTAGGACATAGGCAGAGTGGAATGTATCATTCCCATTTTAGAGAAAAGTAACCTGAGGCCCAGAGAGTCTAAGTAAAGTCTACAGCTCGCACAACCAGTAAGAGAGAACTGGGGACAGAGCCTGGTCTCTGAGGGGTTCGGAGCACCGGCGCTGTCACTGAATTTTCCCAGCTGCACTGAAATGGAGGTATTTAGCGTTATCATCTTTATGGCCAGTTCGTTAGATAACCAAAGTGACCGTAGTAACCATACTCAATGCGTGCGACTTAGTATGATAAGGGAACACAGGTTTGCTGCCTGCAATATGAATCTCAGGAAGATGTTTTTTCCTATCACATCAAAATAGTAAAAGAGTTATGCCATGTCCATTGACATTATCTCTGGTGACTGGTTAAAACTGCAAACTACACAGCCATCAGGAGGCTGAGGCAGGAGGATCACAGTGAGTTCAAAGCCAGCCTGCACTACATAGCAAGACCCTGTCTCAAAACAAACAAACACCCTTGTTATCCTGAAACCTTTAAGGACTTCCTGGCCTCATTGGGCGTACAGCTTATCCTTAGAAAGGCAATCAGATGGATGTTCATTGAAGAGAAGATTATACATGCTAATTCTAATAAATTTGTGCAAACTAAAAAAAAAAATAAAATTCCAAGCTACCTTCCCAAGCTGGCCCTCTCCCCTATCCTTTCTCCACTTCATTTTCCTTTCAGAGCACTGACCGCCATCTGGAAGGTTGCACACTTTGCTCATGGCTTGTGCTGACCAGTCCCTCCCCATCCCCCAGTAGAAAGCCGCTTCGTGTCTGAACAGTGCCTGGCTGGCGGAAGTGCTCAGCGCCCCTTCCTAGGGTGACTGGATGACTCTGCAGTGCTGTGAGGCCATAAAGGACTCCTCACCCATTCGTGTGTTCATGGACACATCCACTGCTTCTAAGACCTCGCTGTTTTTTGTTTTATTTTTGTTTTGTATTGTTTTTCTTTGAGACAGGGTCTCGCTATGCAGTTCAGGCTGGCCTTGAGCTCACTTTGCAGCACAGGCTGGTCTCAAACTCTCAGCAATCCTCCTGCCTCAGCCTCCTGAGTGCTGGGATTACAGGCGTGCGCCACCACACCCAGCAAGACCTCACTGGTGTGAATCGGGCTGCTATAAACGTGGGTGTGCAGCAAAACAGAGGAGAGATAAAGACAAAGCTGAGAGAAGTTCAAATCCTTCCCCCAAATTGCATATTCAGTTGTTTTAAAGATCTTTCAATATGTATACTGATTTGTTTCATTTACACTAAAATTTTACCTTAGTTGGTTGAAACAGAAGTTTGTATGGTCATCTGCTCCTGTTTTTGTAAGACTCTTTCAGGCTTATGTTGTGCACTGAGCAACTACTGTGAGGATAATGATGCGCTGTGCAATAATTATTGTTATTCTCTTATTATTTGGTTATAAAATATATTTTTTCATAAAATAAAGAGAGAGAGAAAGAAAGAAAATGAAAGAAAGAAAGAGAGAAAGACAGAAAAAAAGAAAGAACCCCTGGGCAAGACAGTGCAGAAGGCCCCTAACCTAGTGGCGAAGCAGTCAGGGTTCCTGTGAGCAGCGCTGCCCACTCCCCCAGAAGCCCCCGATGCCCTGAGCGGCCACCCAGCCTGCTGCGGCGCAGAGCACAGTCCCAGCCTTTCTCAGCCGTGGTGCTGTTCTGAAAGGGTTGTGTCGCTAAGACAAAGTTGGGAGAACAGGAAGGAGCCCGCGGCCCGCGCCTGCTAATGGATGGGTCCTAATCGCCATCCCCTCTGCTTCCTGGGCTCCCCCAGGTTCTGCTCAAGGAGTTCAACCACCGGCTGCTGGCAGCGGCAGAAGCCTGCAAGCTGGCGGCGGCCTTCAGTGCCTACACGCCCCTGTTCGTGCTCACAGCCATGGTAAGTGGGGCCCCAGCCCACAGCCTCAGGACCAGTGGAAAGAAGGGGTGATGCAAAGCCACCCCGTTGTGCATCAGGGACCCGAGAGTGTCCAGATGCGTAGCGGTTCTCAGAAGCCACTCCTGAGGCAGTGAGGGGTGACTGTTGCCGGGGGACTCAGTTCCACAGGCGGGTTTAAGAACCACCCTTCTCGTTCAGCTGCTAGTAAGTGAGTGCTGTGTCTGTAAACAGCAGCCGCACTTCACAGAGACTTCGAGTGTCAAATCACATGCAGCCTTCGCGGACACTAACCACAGCAGTGACCAGAGAGCTGCCATCCCCCATCAGAAAGCAGCAGGGCTGCCTAGGATGGGAGTTGAAGCTCATTTCTCTTTTTTGAGACAGGGTCTCTCTGTGTAGTTCAGGCTGGTCTTGAACTCATTACATAGCCCAGGGTAGTCTGGAACTCTTTGCAATCCTCCTGCCTCAGCCTCCCGAGCGCTGGGATTACAGGCATGTGTGACCACACCCAGCTAAATTTCCTTTCTTACTGCATTGTATCAGTCTTGTCTGCTGACCAGAAACCCCACAGGTCCTTTATACAGCAACGTGCTTTCTTTAGAATATCTGCGGCATGTGCTTATCTTCCTGTACTACTTTAAATGATTCTAATTAATAAATGACGCTAATCTTCACATGCATTGAAAATACATGTGGCTTGCTTCCCAGTCCAATTCCATGTCTGATGCTCCTCTTGTTGTTTCCCCAGAACATCCGTGGCACGTGTTTGCTGTCCTACAGCAGCTCCAGCGCCTGCCCTCCCAGCCAGAAAGGCTGGTATCTGTTTGCAGCCAAGGAGGCCTTCGAGATCGGCCTCCTGACCAAGAAAGATGACGATGAGCTGGCCGCTGGGAAACAGCAGCTCCATAGCCTGATAAAAGCAGCCTTTGGGCTGGCCACGGTGCACCGGAGACTCCACGGGGACACAGACGCGGTGCTGGAGGCGGGCAGGCTCTGTGTGGAAGCTATGGGGATGCTGTACAGGTTCAGCTCCTCCTCTGGAAGTCAGGACAGAGAGGCTCTGTCCCAGGAAATCCTCTCCACAGTCAGCCATGTGAAGCATCGCTTACAGGTCCAGAGCTTCGCCAATTTGGACGACAGGTCTTACGTTCCAGAGAGTTTCGAGTGCGGCTTGAATAAACCTATCCTGCATGGACGGGTAGATTTCCAAAAGATTCTCGAAGCCTACTCACAGCACCACACCTCGGTGTGCGAGGTTTTTGAAAGTACCTGTGGACACAGCAAGAATAAAGAGAAAAACGCAAAAGCAGAAATCTGCATCACTGCCTTAAAAACAGAAACCAAATCCCTGGATACGGTGAGCGTCACTGAGGAGGAACCATGCTCTCCCGGGGACAGGGGGACACCTTCCCTCCGGATGGGGAAACTCGGAACGGTGGGGAGGAGGAGCTGGGCCCGCTGGGAAGCGTTTCGAGTCTCCCTGGATCAGGACATGGAGACAGAGCTGGAGGCACCTGGGCACAGCAGCGGCGAGGTGTGGAACACACCGCTGAGCAGCAGCAGGACCTCCCGCTCCTGGAGCCAGCTGTCGGGGCTGAGTTCTTCTGGGAGCTGGGAGGAAGTGAACTATCCGGGGGAGCCCGGCTCAGCCGATAGAGCGAAGAACCTCGCGGACAGCCTGTGTCCCACTGTCCCGTGTGAGGAACAGGAGAGGAAAGGGGGCGACAGAGCCACGCGCTCCCTGTCTTCAGACCTTCGTGGTCTCTCTCTCCAGGAACCCAGGAGTGATGATGAAGAGGGCTCCCCAAGTCGGCCACACAGACACCCGTCCTTGCCAGCCTTCGCTCCCCACAGTGCTCCCAACACCTGGGTGGTTCCTGTGGCCAGGCTGTCCGGGGCCCTGGGGGACACTCACGAAGGCAGAGAGGCAGAACCCCAAAATACTCCTGCTCCCCCTGGACTCTCCAGAGCGTCTCGGTTTTCTGATTCTCTTTGGCACAGGGACATGGCCACATGGCGATCAGGGCAAGAAGACATCTTCGAAATCCTTGATTTCACAGAAACCAGCTGTGATGTCCCAGACAGGCTTGGGGCAGAGACGGAAACAGAAGTCCATGAATGGGGCCAAGGCCCTGCATGTAAAGATGTCCCCGTGTGGGTGGACCCCGAAGGAGAGACGGCAGAAAGCACCCAAGATGCGCCCTTGGACAGTCACACCGTGCTGGGTGGTGCGCTGGGCAACAGCGCCAGGCTGGGGTGTGTGTCTTCCCCTCCTCATAACCGCATTCAGCAGCCTGACTCCCCTGAGACTGGAGGCTCTGTGGAGGACCTGGGCATTGACCCCGATGCACCCACGGAGGACAAAGTGGGCTACCTGCTTGGCAGTGGCCATGTCCTCTCCACAGGTGGACCTGGCCCCAGCACACCAGGTGCTCCAAGGCAGCCCCTGGGGCAGAAGACAGGGAGCCCCAGTCTCCCCGCAGGCGGCAGCAGCCCCTTCCCTGTCCTCAGTGAGGACTGCGCCACCACGGAGGAAGGAGACCCAGCAGGACACGTGCTCAGCTGCAGTCAGAGCTCGGGCTCCTCCCTGGCGTGGTGGCTGAAATCACCTGCCTTCTCCAGCGGCTCCTCCGACGGCGAGAGCTCGTGGTCCCTCCTGAATTCCAGCGGGAGTTCCGTGGCATCCTGGCCAGGGCTGATTCGGCAAGAGGTCCTAGAGGCACGCACACTGCAGCCTGCTGACCTGGAGAAGCTGCTGGCCGGCGTGAGCCACGGCTGGCTGCTGCAGAGGCTGGGGCACACAGGCGTGTTCAAGCCCAGCCAGTTGCACAGAGCATACAGTGAGCATCTTGCAGCCCTGCAAGGGGTTTGCTGCATAGACCACTTAGAGCTCATAAAGTATACACTATGCTTGGTGATGTCTATGAGCACACAGAGAAAGGTCCCCTCCAGGAGCCTTCCTCTCCCTTCATGGGAGGGACTTGAATAGCTGCAAAGAGGAGAAATGAGTGTTGTCTTCCATAGCGGAGATTTACTATCAGAACACGTGAGCCAGCTAAGCAGGCTGAGGCACCCCTTGATCCCAGTGCTGAGGCAGGAGGATTGCAAGTTTGAGGCCAGCCTGGACAGCTTAATGAGTTAGTGAGACCCTGTCTTAAAAAAATTTTGTTTAAGGACTGGGGGTGTAGCTCAGTACAAAAGCCCTGGGTTCAACCCCTCCCCCCAGTTAAAGAAGAAGGAAGGAAAGAAGGAAGGAAAGAAGACAGGAAGAAAGGGATAGGAACTCCAGAGGACTTGGGCCTACATAGGTGGGGTTTTACATAACTTGGGATATGGAATCATCCACTCAGTATGTGCCTTCTCCTTCGCTTCTCTGTAAGAATTAGCTAATTTCTCCGGTTTTCCTCATTCTGATTCTAGGGGGAAAAATTCTCATACCTGTCTACCAAAGCGGTTTCTTGGCACCTGTGGAGCTGGTCAGGTGCCCCTGGGCTCAGCCAGTGCACGAAGCTGTAGCTCAGAACTAGGAGCTGGGCGGCTTACAAATAGTAGGACTGGGTTTCTCCAGCTCTGGATGCTGAGATCCAAGGCTACGGTGCTGGCAGATTCAGGGTCTAGGAGGGGCTGCTTTCTGCTCCATAGACAGCACCTCTCCTCTGTCCTCACACGGCAGAGGAGCAGAGAGCCTCATTTTTAAGTTCATGTTCTCATGGCCTGATCATTCCCGAAAGCTCCGCCTGCTAATAACACTGTCTCCTGAGGAATCTAGGGGAAACGCAGTGCCCCTCCAGCTGCGACGAACAGCTGCTTCTTCCTTGCAAACACCTAAAGTCACTTCCCATAGCAAGGAGCTGGCGGGGGCCACCTAGCATCAGGACAACTAGCACAGGTTAAAAGTGATGGAGGGAGCAGATGTGGCGGCCCGTGACTGCAATCCCAGCTACTCATGAGACTGAGGCAAGAGGATCGAAAAATTCAAGGCCAGTTTGAACAACTTAGGGAGACTGTGTCTCAAAATAAAAAGTAAGGAGGGATGGAGGTATAGTTCAGTGGGGAGCACCTCAGTGGTGGAGCACCATACTGCAATAGAAAGTATATACATAGTGGGGAAGCTGGAAGACAGACAAAACTTCCTCTCAGTCAGAGAATGCCACAACGCCCTTCCAATACATGAAGCATTACTTCACCAGTGAAAAGCTCCTGCAAAGTGCCTCTTAAATAGTTCTTAGCCCTGGCACCACTCGAGAACCCTGAGAGCTTTGCAAAACTTCCGTGCTCACCCCAGACGTCTGCATCCAGCAGATCCTGGGTACAGGCGCACATGAAGCCAAGGTTGAGATTTTCTGCTTCAGAGCCCTCCAGTGTTTTGTCTGCCATCTTAAAGTCAGACTAAAATGCAGATCAGATTGTCACCGTGAAAACACAAGTGCTGTGGCAACAGGGTCTCCTCACTGTCTCCAGGTGGGGTCTGAAGAGGTCCTCCAAAGAGACATCAACCCTTCCCCAGCAGGGCAGGGTCACCTGCTCTCATCACAGGAGGGACATCTCACTGTGTAGCCCAGACTGACCTCCATCCTCCTGCCTCAGCCTCCCCAGTGGTGGGTTTACAGCCATGTATCACCATTCCCTGCAAAAGCACAATTTTAAGACTCCAGTTTTTCTTGTGTCCTTTCTTCCTGTCTTTGTTTCTTCTGTCCTACCTCACTACTACTCAGAGATGCTGCAATATGAGAACCCTGCTTCTTAGAATTAAGTTATTGTTATTTATTGTTACTTCTTGTTATTGTGGCCCATTTATAGGTGAAAAAACCTCAGTATAGGAAACATGGTCAAAGTTGCATAAACAAAATAAGCCACAACCTCCCTTCTCTCTTCCCTCCATCCAGCACCTCTCTGAGTGTGGAGAAATAGTTCCCCCCTGTTTCCATCCCAGCTTCTTGTCAAATCCCCAGCCTGAATGCCACCTCCCCCACGCCATCAGCCCCTCACCAGACCTGTGGGTTTATCCTAAGTGTTTTTGCTCCCGATCTCTATTCATGCCCTCATTGTCACAGCCTATGTTACCAGAATGCTGGGTCCTGTCCCACAGGGACAATGAATGAAGCTGAGGAGGAAGGAGGCAGGGTGTACGCAAGTTTATTAAAAAGATTCAAAAGCAAGAAAGAACACAATAAGAGCAAGGAAGTGAAGCTCCCGCTAGCCAGGAGGGGTTCTGATAGGACACCCAGCAGGGCTGTTTGTCTAGGGCTTTTGAAGAGTTTAGAAGGGAGCTCGGGCTGTTGTGTGAGCAGTATAATCTCTACCTTATAGGAGAACACATACTTTTTAGGGTCCAACCTGTGCAGTGCTCACACAGCGTCCATGCAGGCCCATCTGTCCTTGAGCCCGTGGCCTGTCTGATCATGCTCTGGGCACGTCCCCAACGCCTGAAAGACACCTGACACATGTTTTTGTGAGATCCCTGGGGGGTTGTGACTCAGTCGCCTCCATTTTGTACTTCCTGACTCCACTTGGGGGCCACTGTCCTTACTGCCTAATAGAGTCCCAGCTCCTGTCTCTCGGATTCCTGTTACGCCTGGACACAGGCGAGTTTTGCTCACTGAATTTTAACTTGGGTACCAAAGTGATGTTTTTCTTTCTTTGAGTTCTTGTTAGTCTTTCCCCTTAGAAGAAGTGCTACCTTGCTCAACACTATTTTTGTTTTATTGTGTTTGTTTTTGTTTTGCATTGGAGATTGAAACCAGGGCCTTCCCAGTGAGCTACATATTCAGCCTTTTTATTTTTTATTTTGAGGCAGAGTCTTGCTAAGTTGCCCAGGCTGGGTTTAAACTTGCAGTCCTCCCACCTCATACCCCCGACACACATCTACACACACAGCAGTAGCTGGGATTACAGGCATGCATCACCACACCAAGGTCTAGTCTTAGTTTAATGCCTTATTTTCCAAAACAAAAAAATGTGAATTAAAGACCATTTGTTCGAAAACAATCTGTTTCTGGCATGTGAGAACCTGCCCCAAGGTCCTGGGAGACTGAAGAGAGAGGCAGACAGACCCAGGATCACACAGAGTGCAGTTGGCGGGAAGCGCTTGAAAACACAAGCATGGTTCTGGGTGAGCAAGGCAGTGGGTCCCCATTACCTGGGTCAGAAGTGTGCATGCTTATGAGGTGGTTAGTACAAGGTGGCCAGGTCTTCCTCCAGGCCAGAATGTGTCTGGTTTATCTCAAGCTACTACCAAAAATATCAGACATGTTCCTGGCCCTGGCAGCAACAGGCTCCAGTCACGAGCTCCACCTGCTAGTTTATCATATGTTGGGAAACTGCAAGGAAAACTGACCAGTCAGTCAGCTGCCATCATGGCTGCTATAATTCAAAATGGTGGCTGTGGGGTTAAACTGAATCCATACACCGTTCTTCCCTGTCCCATACAAAGGGTTACCTCAGTCTTCTACTTCCTTACCATTTTAACAGTAGTCATAGAAGAGGCTGAGATTTGAGGGAAATATATTAAAAAGTTGGAGGTTTTAGCTGGGCTGTTTGAGGATTTGTGTCTCTTCAACTTTATTCATGATTTGTAATGTCTTTTGAAAATGAGGCCCATTTTCATCATATCCTTTCTTCCAGATGCTCTTCTGTTAAAATATTCCAAAAAGTCTGAACTGTGGACAGCCCAGGAAACAGCTGTGTATTTGGGGGACTACCTGAATGTGAAGAAGAAAGGCAAACAGAGAAACGCCTTCTGGGTTCACCATCTTCACCAAGAAGAAACGCTGGGGAGGTATTGCTGGGAAACATCTGTGTTGGCATGGCAGAATGGGCTAATCTTAACTGCTCTGGGGAATCCTTCCTGGGATTGTGAAAGGGCTGGGGAAGTGGCCAAAATGTATGTTTTCAGACTGCTCCTCCACTTCTTCTTCATCTCTAGCTCACTAATGACAGCTACCACTTATTGAAGACTTGGGTTATATCAGCCAATTTGCTGGATATTTTAGACACATGATTTCAAATCCATCAGGGAGACATTTTTAACTCCATTGTACAGATAAGAGAAGGGGGAGTTCTTGGCTACCTGGTAGGTCAAGGAATTTTAAACATTCTCACTGAAAATACTGACAAAAAGGCTAGCTACGCTATGAAAGCCATAATTTTATGTAAGTTGGTGAGCCTACAACAATGGCAGGAAAATCCTCTGAGGCCAAGAATGAAGCATCCCCAGGATATGTGATCACTGAACTCTTAGGCATCCTCTGTAGAAGTATGGGCAGGTATGGTGAGGGAGCAGCTAGGGACAAAAGCTATACCTGAAAGGACATAGTTCAGAGACCACATGGGAAAGGCAGGCACTCAGGAATACCTGTGTCCTCTACAGAAAGACGATCTTAAGAAATCCCACCCCACTGAGACCAGCTGCTGGAATGCTTTCTGTTTGGCCCTAATGCTTGGTGAAAACTTTAAACAAAACCTCACCAGAAAAATTAGTGAGGCTTAATTTTATACCGTTTTTAAATTTTAAAAATCCTATAAGCCAAAACTTTTAAAGTTGACCCTATACTTTACCCAAATCTAAGTAATTTAAGAAATAGGAAAGAGGAGAAATGGGAGAGAGACTATTTAAGCAATAAAAAGGTAGTTCTTTAAAAAGTTGATTGTTTTAATAGTAATAAACATGTATATTCACTTAAGAGGTGCTAGGCCCTGTTTAACATGGTTAATATCCTATTCAATTAATCTTCACAAAACCCTAGAAGGTAGATCTTATTATTATCCCCATTTTACAGATGTGGGAACTAAGGCACAGAGATGTTGAGAAACTTGCCCAAAGTCCCACATATAAATGGTAGAGAGAGGCATTGTGATTCAAATTGTGCCCCTTCCCAAAATAATTTATATGCTAAAGTTTCCAATGCTTACATTAGAAATAGTCATTTCAAAGGTAGTTAAGATGAGGTCACTGTGGAGTAGGGTGAACCTCCCCTAGTCCAGTATAACTGGAATCCCTATGAAAAGAAGAAATGTGGAGATAGGTGTGCATCAGTGAGAATGCCATGTGAAAATTGTAGTTATGTTGCCACAAGACACGGAACTCGCAGAAACTAGGAGAGAAGACTGCAGCTGACACACCCTTGAGGCTTCCTCAGAGAACTTGGCCCTGTGGCACCTGGATCTGGGATTCCTCCCGTACTGTGAAACAGTTAAGTTCTACTGTTGAAGCCATCCCATCTATGTACTTTGTGACATAATCCTTAGGAAACTAATATACCAGGATATGTCATAGAAGGCTCTAAAATGAAAAATAAATGGAGAATAAGAGACCTGGAGAATGAATGGGAAGGTTCAACATATATTTGATCAGAAAAAGACAATAGTTGGACATGGTGATGTGTGTTTGTAATCCCAGCACTCAGGAGGCTGAGACAGGAGGATTGCCTTGAGTTCAAGGCCATGCTGGGCTATATAGTGAGTTTAAGGCCAGCCTAAATTACAGAGTGGAACCCTATCTCAACAAAAAGAAGAAGAAGAAGGAAGAGGAGGAGGAGGAGGAGAAGGAGACAATAAAGCAAATAAAGACAATAACTGAATAGAGCATTTCTGGTAATTTTCCAGAATTGTAAAAAGACATTAATTTTCAAATGTAAGTAACATAATGAATCCCAAGGAGGGTAAAAATGCAAACAAGTAAGCTGGAAGAAAGGAAGGAAAGAAGTTGTAAAGCCACTCCTAGGAACATAGAGTCAAACTTTAGACTAACAAGGACAAAGAAAGTCTTAAAAGTAGTTTTAAAAAATTATTACTGGGCTGGGGATATAGCTCAGTGGCATAAGTGCCTGCCTGGCAAGCTCAAGGTCCTGAGTTCAGTTCCCAGTACCAAAAAAAAAAAAGCCTGGATAAAAATGATTACCTACAAAGAAATGTCCATAAGACTTACAGATGATTTTTCAGTGGCAACAAAGAAGTCAGAAACAGTGGAAGTCATGTACTTGAAATGGAAGTCTTACACTTGCCTTTCATGGAAGGCAAAATAAAGACCATTACAGTTAACAGAAAAATGACAGTGAGCACGTAAAACCCTTGCTGATGAAAAATGATCCCAGGAAAATGGTATTAACTGAATGAAGGAACTACTGTCTGTTCCCAGGTTGATGATCCACACTAGGGCAGGAGTTCCTCTAGCAGACTCCTCAGGGAAAACTTCAGCACCAGCTCCACAAGGTTTTCCTTTAGGATACATTTCTGGCCTTGGTCAACAGAAACAAAATTGTGAATTGGCTCAAATCTTTTACAGGCCTCAAAATCTCTCCGTAACAGAACTGCTAGAAGCACTGGGGTATTACTCCTTGGACAATGGTTCCTCTGTGGGCTACAACCTAATGCTGCTGCTCTGCAGCCTCCACTGTCAGGTTTCCTTTCTGTTCCTCCAGAGTCTGAAAGGCTAAAATGAGCCCCCCTCGATTCCATTACATGCTGGAAACAGTTTACTCTCACTGAGGCCTGTGACTCTGACAATTCACATTTCCTTCCAGGCACATGTAAAATTACTCATAAATTCACATCAGCTTATAGCAAGTACAAACTACAGTAAAGTGTAGTACTTACCGTCTTCCACACTCCTTTACTGATTTATATCTTCTTTCAAATGTACTATAAGCCCTTGAAATATACAAATCACATCTCACACTTTCTTCCACACAGTCAGGACTAGCACACTGTTGTGCACATAACAGGTGCTGATAGGGAATGAATATCTATAGGAACAAAATAATCAGTGCAAGGAAGGGATGAAGGGGAGGCCTCAGATGGGTTGGCAGATATAAAGCCATACTGCAGGTAGTGAAAGAACTGGCCCAGAGTTGATGCACTGTGCAGTATACCATGCTCATCATCTCCTTGGCTTACCAAATAGATCTGGAGAGCTGCCACATGAAGTGGACACTTTCTCCTTATCAGTGTCATTCTGGGTTGGCTAAAATAAGGTTGTGTCATTGCTTAGGAAGCTCTTACACAATTATTTGAATCATGACCTAAGTCAAGATAGTTAATATTGCTGATATAACATAGAGAAAGCAATACCTTTCAAATATTCTTGCATCTCTCTTCTATCTCCTCTGGTATTAGCTGCTTTCCCATTGCTGGGACAAAATACCCAATGCCCACAACTTAAAGGGGAGAGCTTTATTCAGTGTGTGGTCCCAGTAGATTCAGTCCAAAGTTGACTGGCTCCAAGGCAGAAGGGACCTGGTGAAGGAAAGCCACTCAACCCGTGGAGCCAGAAAGCAGAAACCAACGGGAAGCAGCAGGGACAAGAACACACCCTCCCAGGTCACACCCCAGTGACCCACTGTAACCAGGCCCGCCTCCCAGCAGCGTTAGCAGTGACCTCACCATGGATGAACCTGGGGTAGAGCACTCCATGATCCAGTCACCTTAGGAACACATGAAGCTTTGGGGAGACCTCTGAGATCTGAACCATAACACCTCTCTCCGACCCTGTACTAAAGAAGATAGCTCTTACATCTTGTTGCACGGTCTTCCCCATCAAGGTATGTTGGGAAAGAATACAAGGAGCAGAAGGGGCTCTGGCATCACTTCATTGATGTGGAGAGGCAGATGACTGCACAGCACTACGTGACAGAGTTTAACAAGAGACTCTATGAGCAAAACATCCCAACACAGATATTCTACATCCCATCCACAATATTACTGGTAAGATTTTAAAAATCAAGTGTCTGGTTAAACAGCCTAGTAATGTATGTTAGGGTAGATTTCTTGTACCAGCCTGTCTGCCTCCACACTGTTCTGATAAAATCCAGGAATCTCAGTTCCCAGGCTCCCCATCCATTTCATCCACTTCATCATCTCCAATGTCCAAGACGTGTGACCCTCTGCCCCACAACATGTCACTTGGGTCTTTAAGCTCACGTCTGAGCATCAGTTGATTGTTCTGGTCTCATGTGGCCACATTAGCATTTTAGTAGACTTTCTTTTTCTATTGCCTCTGTACTTGCAGAGAGAGAAAGGACTGTAAAGATATAGCTAGTACAAGTTATTTTCCAAACATGATATGTAAATCTTGTTTTACATCTGTTACCCCTACTCCATGTGACCAAGTGATACTAAGCTATGGCTTCAACACGGTCAATGAGGATAAATAATTATCACCCTCTGCCCTCAAGTAATTCTGCTTGCTGGGAAGTTCTTAGTTTCAAACAAATCTGTCTTCCCCTATCTCCTACCCATGGATCATATAGCTCTGCCTTCTGGGACCATTGAGACCAATCTCTCTTCACTAAATATCCCTTTCCTGAGTTTACCATCCCTTGGATCAAGAATATTCTATGGCTCCAAATATGTTAGAGCCGTAGTAAGTTCATACTATAATTTTTTTCCATTGGTCAGAGACATTTTTGACCTATTTTTATCATTCAAATAGTAATTATCAACCAGTTTGTACTTTCTTTATGTCATCTATTGTTAAGTGATTTATAAACATTAACTCTAACTTTTGAAACAACACCAAGTATATCACGTCACATGGAGCTGCTTGAACAGGTATTCCAACCTGGAGTCCATGGCAGGCTCCACCCACACAGCTGGCAGGACATCCCTGGGTAGGTCATTTCAGGGTCTAAACTTTGAATGGACTGTTTAATAGATGAACAGTAATAACTTTAGGTTCTGTTTTATGCTACGTGTAACACTAAGCACTGCTCTTGCATTTTCCCCTATAACCCTTTTAACAAACCTAAAAGTAGTTGTTACTAACATTATACCCACAGTGGAGACCAGGAAGTTGAAGTCTAGAGGAGGGGAATGAAGTTCCTACATGAGATAACCTACATCCCACCTCAGACCCACCCAACCCCAGAGGCCGGGCCCTAACCATTATGCTACCTTGCCTCCCATTCTATTTTTCAGATTTTAGAAGGCAGCTCAATAAAGGGATGTATCAGTGTGGAACCTTACATACTGGGAGAATTTGTAAAGTTATCAAATAACACAAAAGTGGTGAAAACAGAGTACAAAGCCACAGAATATGGCTTGGCTTATGGCCATTTTTCTTATGAGTTTTCTAACCATAAAGATGTTGTGGTTGACCTTCAAGGTATGTGAAACTATGAATTATTTTTTTATTTTGAATATTACTTATAGGTAAATGTAAATTCTCATAACTGGCTTCATTAATCATTATTTAATACATGTTTCAGTGTATAGGCCACTATTTAGAATTAACTGATTTTACTATGCAAGGGGTAATCAAAATTATAGTGAATGTTTAAATTTTTTAAAATTCATCACAGTAAAAGACACATTGGCACAAATCTCCCCCAAAATACTATCCTTCTCTTTGAACACACTCTTCCCACTGGCCATGTGCTGGCTACTTTCTGAAGCAGTTCTAGATGTCCTCTTTAGTGTCTTTATCAGGTGTGATCAAAAATGTGAATGCTGCTGCCGAGTGCCGTCCAGCAGAAAGATAGGTTCATTAAAAACGATGCTGCTGGATATAGTGGCACACACTTGCACCCCCAGCACTCAGGAGGCTGAGGCAGGAGGATTGCTGCAAGTTCAAGACCAGCTTGGGCTACAAAGTGAGTTCAAGGCCAGCCTGAACTGCATAGTGAGACCCTGTCTCAAAAAGACCAAAAACACAATAAAATACAGCAAAACAAAACATAATGCTGTGTCCTCACCCACTTTGTTCACTAAGATGTGGCACCATGCAACTTCTATCTCTTCCCCAAAGTCAAAATGACTGTGAAAGCCAAACATTTTGAATCAATTCAGGACACTGAGGCCGCCATGGTAGCACTTGCTTGCATGTTTTCTTTTCCCCAACCCTTTACCATTATTAAAAGTGTGGCCAGACCTGGTGGCACAGGCCTGTAATCCCAGCTCTTCAGAGACTGAGGCAGGAGGATTGACGCAAGTTCAAGGCCCAGGAGTTTAAGGCCAACCTGAACCACATAGTGAGACCTTGTCTCAAAAACAAGCAAAAAATAATAATAATAAGTATGTTACTAAGATTCAAAATTAGAATCATTATGAAGTGGAAAGCTGTGTCTACTTGAGTCTTTTTAAAAATTTTCTATTAATATTTTCATTTTGTTGCAGTTTAGCATTTTGCACATCAGAATTCTTATTAGCAAATACTCTACAGTTCGTGTAAATGACAAGCTATATTTATTACTTTAATAATGGTCCCATGACCACTTCAAGAGCTATCTCATTTTTCATCCCTGTCACATTATCTACTTTACTTATTCATAGTTTATTGATCTGTCCCCTTCATAAGAATGTTAGCTCACTGAGTGTTCCCTGCCATGTCCCCAGTGCCTGCAGCAGTGTGTGGTACTATGTCCCCACTTAATAAGTATCTGTTCAATGAACACAGGAACATACATATTAATGCATAAGGCACTAACTAAGCTCCTAAATCATGAAATAAATATGCCACACTTTTAATAGTGGTAAAGGGCTGGAGAAAAGAAAGCATGCAAAGAAGATTTTGTCCTGTGGAAAACATGCAATAATAAGAAAGTGAAAGAATAATAAGAAGAAGAAAGCGATATCACTCAAACCCACTCAGTGAAGAAAATAATATTTATTATGTATTTGCTCTGGAGTTCAGCCCAACAAAAAATACTGTGATTTTAATAGTTATTCTATGTGCTCATTATTGCTCTCTCATTTCTTGAAAATTGGTAACCTGGGTATGTCATACTTGACAAATGTAATTACTCAATATTTACTTCTCCTTTTTAAACCAATTACTAAAGTACGCAACCCAACCCAAATTCCTTAGGTGAAGCTTATTAAATATAAACCACAGGGTGACCAAATTTCTAAAGTACATCTCTGAGATTGTGTGCATGCACGTGTGTGCCCGCATGCGTGTGTATTTTCTTTTCTAGAAATACTTGACTGGCATTGGGAGGGGATTTAATTCTCAGCTGTTCTCATTTTTCTTTTAGGTTGGGTAACAGGTAATGGAAAAGGGCTCATCTACCTCACAGATCCTCAGATTCACTCTGTTGATCAGAAAGATGTCACTACCAATTTTGGAAAGAGAGGAATTTTTTACTTCTTTAATAACCAGCATGTGAAGTGTAATGAAATCTGCCATCGTCTTTCTCTGACTAGACCTTTGATGGGGAAACCAAACAAGCCGTAGGCTGTGGGTTGATAACATGACCGCCTCTCTGCCCACCAGGATCAAAGCTCTCCTTCCAGGCACCTAGAACTTGGCATGGCTTGGGTCTGCGGGGCTTGGGCAGGCCATGGGGCTAGGGCTGGCCAATGAGAGGGATCGAGAGGGCCACCTTCAGGGCTGCATTTAGTTGCTTATACAAGATCCGGTGGCTTCTCTTTCGCTCTGACACAGGGACCAAGAATAATTCTGGAAGTAACAGCTAATGAACATCAGTCCTGCACTGAAGACAGATGGAAAACAGCCAAACTGACCCACAATGGATCCAAGCACAGCTGGAAAATAAACTTCTGTTTAAGCCACTGAGATATTGGAGCTTTTGGTTATCTATCGTCTGTCAGGACTGATACTACTGCTGATTTTTCCTGTTGATTTAAGAGTTCTTCATGTATTAAAGAATTTGGAGGTTTGTGATATGAATTCCAGTATTGTTATCTTTTGACATTTAGCTTTCCATAAAGCTTTTGTCAGTGCAGAATGTTTTATATAGTTGAATTCATCAGCCTTTTCTTGTATGGTTCCTTGGCTATGTGTGGTACTTAGACCTTTCCTGTGCTCTGGGTTTCTTTCTTTTTAAATCTCCCATGTTTTCTTGCAGTGAGTTCACACTTGTGAATGGTGTGAGAGAAGATGAGTACATTTTAATGACCAGCACAGTCCACCCCTTTGTACCACACAGATTACTTCTTCACATAGCACTGGGCAGCAGTTATTCTGAGGTCTTGCAGAAATAAAGGTACAAAAAGGACATGGGTGAATGAGTAATTCTGTCTCTGCTTACTCTCTGGGGCCAGAGTTGGTGCTCACTAAATTCATTCTAAATCTCCTGCAGCCTTGACTATGACCTCAGAAGATCAGGGTGGCTTAGCAGGTGCTGGAACTTGAGTACATAGGGGACGGGTCTGAGTACTTGTTCCCTCCCTTCTCAGTCTGGGATTGCTGCCCGTCTCTCCACCCTTGTAGCTGGGACGAGGGGACCCATGCAGAAGTCCTGCTGTGGGGAATCTAAAGACTGCCACTGCCAGCTCCACCACCATGCTCAGGGTGAAGTCGTGGCTCCCACACATTCTCAGTCCATGACTCCGCACGGGAAGGAGCTGGTCTCAGAATACTCTGACAGGTGACTACCACAAAAACCTCCCATTGGCAGATCAGAACTTCCTTGCTGCACTGTAGTCTGGGAGTCCTCTCTCTTTGCTGTCTCCTTTCGTAGATGTCTCAGCCCCGTCCCGTCTTCCCGCCCACTTTACTCTCCTCTGTGGATTCTGTAGTCAGTTCCCGCAACAAGCATCTTCCATGTGGGATCTTTTCCTGCTGTCCACTGCCTGAAGAACCCAAACTAATGCAAGTTTGTTTTTTAATGAAAAGTATGTAGTATTTTTACATAAATTTTATATATCCTATTAACAAAAGAATGGGAAAAAAACATAATCTCAGCAGATACAGAAAAATAACATAATATAATCCAAAATCAATTCATGGTTTAAAAAAGCTGTGAAAACTAGACATACAGGAAAACTTTCTGAACCTGATAAAGGGCATTTCAACTTAAAAAATCAGCAATATTATAATTTATAGTAAAGTAATTAAATCCATCCATCAAGAAGTTGAACAAGGAGCTGGAGATTTAGCTCAGCAGCACAGCGCCTGCCTGGCAAGCGCAGGATGGTGAGTTCAATTCCTGGTACTGGAAAAAAACAAACAAACAAAAAAAAAGAAGTGGAACAAAATAAATTTACCCACTATGCAAAATCTATTCAACATTACAGGAGAATTCTAGCTGATAAACATAGACCAAACACTAGAACTAGAAAATCATAACTTCCAATCCCTAATGAAATAAATGATTTGAGCAAAATGATTAATAGCTAATCAAACTATTAGGAGAAAACTTGAACAGGAACTTTATAGTGGAAGAATCAAGTTGATAGTACCTATACCTCAATCAATATTTCTTTTCCTTTTTTAAGAAAGATGGCATCTTTATTTGGAGACTCTTGTTTTCACACATATTTTATTGATCTATATTCCTTCTACATAGTAATGGGATTCCATATAAGTTCATACAGCACTGGTCAACCCACTCACTGTTTCCTATTCTCCTACTCAGCACACACATCCTTAACCAATGTCTTTCTACTTTTTCTACATATGAGGAAGAAAATGCAGCACTTGTCCTCCTGTACAGGCTTATTTCCCTCAGCAAATGTCCTCCAGCTCTGTCTATTTTGCTGCAAATGTCCATTCTTCTGTGAAGGTGGACAATATTTCACTGTATATGTGTTCAATCTTGTCACTGAAAGTGGGACAATACATCAGTGATAAAATAACATTTTTGAAGCAATTAGGGATTTTTAACTAGGATGAGGTGCTGATAAAATTAGGAAAGTAACATCTTTTTTCTCTTTTTGTTTAGTTTTTTTTGAAACAAGGCCTGACTAGGTGGCCCAGGCTAGCCTCAAACTTGTGGCAATCTTCCTGCCTCAGTTGCTATAATTATTAGTATGTACCACCATGCCAGCTTTGTGAAGTAATATCTTTAAACTATTGAAGCCTGTCCGGCGTGGTGGTGCATGCATGTAATCCTAGCATTTGGGAGGCTGAGGCAGGAGGATTGCCGTGAGTTTGAGGCTAGCCTAGGCCACATAGTAGTTCAAGGCCAGCTTGAACTACATAGTAAAACCCTGCCCAAAAAACTAAAAACAAATGAAAATTTAAAATAAAATTAAATATTCAAGCCAAAGGAAAATGAAAACTAGAGGGAGAATTCAGTGAAGCGTGGCTTTTTTGTGGCAGTATTTATCCAGGGAGATGGGTATGTGAGGGTTTGTTAAACCAGCCTTTTAAATTTTACACACATTTGTAAGTCTCCATAACAATTTTTCTTAAATGTACAGTAATTGAAAGGAAAGAACACTAAGTGGGGTCTCAAAAATGAATAGCTACAGATGATGAAAGTCAAGATTTATATCAAACAAAATAATCAAGTTTGTCAGTTATAAGAAATTAATAGAGTATAATCCTACAGAAAAAAATTTTTAAAAAAACAAATTTTTTTGTAATGAGAGATTGAAGACAAACAAACTACTGGCAGGGGGGAAAAAAGCCATTAATTGACAGAGTAACCTTTTAGATGTTATAGAACAGAAAGTAACAAATGAGTCCACAGGTCATGTCTGCTGTGAAAAGTCATTTGTTCTTATAAATAAAGTTTTATTAGAAGGCAGTGAAAGTTTACATTTAAAATATTGCAGTGAAAATGTATTGCCATGAATCCACCTAAAATCCTCCTCCCCTGCCTGGCAAGCTCGAGGTCGTGAGTTCAATTCCCAGTACGGGGGGGGCGGGGGGGGACATGAAAAAAAATAAAATCCTCCTCCTGGCTTTGAACATACTCATCCCATTGTCTTGCCACTTTCCTTTTGTTTTGTTTTGTTTGTTTGTTGAGACAAAGTCTTGCTATGTAGTTCAGGCTAGCCTTAATTCACTGTGTACCCCCAGGTTGGCCTTGAATGCATGGCGATCCTCCTGCTTTAGCCTCCCAAGTGCCAAGATTACAGGTGTGTTCCACCCCTCCCCTTCCTGGCTATCTTGCTACTTTCTAGAGCAGCTCAAGAAGCCCTTTTTCAAGGGTGTCTTTTCATCACTGCCACAATGTCCTGAATTAATTCAAAACATTTACAGCAATTTTTTAAAATACAAACATCCCAGCGTGTCCTCGTCTACCGTATTCATAGGATCTAGAGCTGTGTGACTTCCACCTCTTCCCCAAAATCAAAATGACCTTGAAAGGTGAGTGTTTTGGATCCATTCAGGACACTGAGGCAGCCACAGCAGGGCAGCGGAAGACAGGTGCCGGGCCCAGCTTAGTGAGTCCTGCTCAGAGCCACAGGGCCACAGCAGAGACACCGGTCGGGCTGTGGTCCCATCTGGAGCCTGTGTGGCAAGGGGCAAGTCCCCTGCCAAACTTACCAGGTTGTCCCAGAATTCATCTATGTAGAAAAAATACTGTTAAAGGATTGGTAATGTTTTTCCCTGCTGAATTTGTAGGAGCCCATTTCATTTTCTTCTTTATCATTCTTGCTTTCTTAATTTTGCATAGTAACCATATGCTACTTATCTCCAAAAATAGTATTCATAAGAAATTTAAATATAAATCTCTTCCAATAGGAAGGCTAGTCGTAAGGCTCTCTGACCTGTCACGACTCCCGTCCCTACTCCCATCTTGCAGAACACTCTGAGTGCTGACCTCCTCAGTGTGTGGGTGTGTGTCCACCCTGCGCGCCACACACTACCACACGCTTTGTCACTTAGCAATGGCACTGCACCTGCCAGGACAGTCACACCTGATGGCTTTTCACCCTTGTAGACATCAAGAAGTCTTCCTCACCCTTTATTCCCTTTCCTCCCTGCTACAAGCTAGGTGTGCTCCCCTTTTTGATCTCCCCAAATAATGGTGCAACAGTCACTACACACGGACATGGAGGCTGATAGCCAATTGTGCCTATGAGCTAGCGTGTAGCTGCATTATGGTTACTGTTTGTGTTAATTACGTATTGCTGCGTGGAAAACTACTCCCAAAACATAAAGGCTTAAAATACCATTTATTCTGAGCAGATCAGAAGTGAGGGTAGGGAGTTGGGGATTTAGCTCAGCGGCACAGCGCCTACCTGGCAAGCGCAAGGTCGTGAGTTCGATTCCTGATACCAGAAAAAAAAAAAAAAAAAGAAATGGGGTGTCATCTCAGCTGGGTGTCATCACTCAGGATGTCTGCTGAGGTTACAGGTGGGCTGTTGTTTGAAACCTTGCCTACAACCAGGGTACCCTCTTCTGCTTCTGTCACGAATCATCAACAGGAGGGCTGTCCCTTGCCGGCTGGGGTCAGAGGCCTCAGTTCCTCCTCACAGGGCCTGTCCAGAGGACAACATGACAACCGGCTTCAGCTAGTGTCATAACTCCAAAGGAGCCAGAGGTGGTGGTGTACACCTGTAATCCCAGCACTCGGGAGGCTGAGGCAGGACAATTGCTGTAATTTCCATTCCAGCCTGGGCTACATAGTGAGTTCAAGACCATCTGAACTACATAGCAAGACCCTGTCTCAAACAAACCAAACAAAAGAACAAATAAACAAAAACACTCTGAAGGAGAGAAAAGCTGAAACCACAGGGTGTTTACAACCTCACCCACAAAGTAACACTCATGTTCACGTTCCAGTTCTCTAATTCACACAGGCCCAATCTGAAACAGCGTCAGGACAGCAAAGGGGCCACTGAGGCCCTTTGAAAGTGGTCCTGTGTGGCTCACCAGCCCGCAGTGGCCCTGGGTCGCTCATGTCTCTGGCACATGCTTATTGTAGTGTCTGCTTTACAGTGAATTCTTCATTCATTTTTGTTTAAATCAGTAAATGCA